TGGAGGATTCTACATCTCCTAGAGTTTCGCCATCAAGAGTGATTGGACTGCTGTTCTCCGTTTTGAATTTGAAGACCTTGGTTTTCCCCTTGTGTATGTTGACGCCTACTGATGCAGAGAAAGTATTTAGCTATAAAATAATTATTAGCATGTTGGACTTGTGGAGATAGCAGCATTTTCACAGTTGAATTCTGGTTGAACAAAATATTTGTTTGTATAAATGGTTAGATCCAACAAAAACAACTGATTAAATATCATTTATATATCACTATTTGTTACACACGTCACAATAAGTTTTTGGCCAAGTATTAAATTTACAGTTAATATACTAAATTTTAAACCATCACACCCTCTATCTGTTATGACTGAGTCACCAACTGTTATATCTGATTGTTGCTAATTTTTATGACGGAATCGCTTATCATTTATACTTGTAAAGCGAGGAACCATTACAATTCCCACGACGCGAAAGTAAGAACACAAAGACTGATACAAGTAAAGATTTATTAATCTAAAAACATGACGACTTTAGTCGAAAATACACTCATTTATGTATTGATTGTACATCCATTTTGATCAATAATTAGGACGAAATCATATATATGAAAATCACTTGCAGTTATAACAAATTACATGCTACATGTCATGATGAGCATATACAGAGTAAAATATCACACTGGGAAACAAAAGAAATACTACACTTAGTAATTATCACATTGAATTAAAACGGAAGTAATGTTAAACAAAAATTATAGTGAGTCAATCTAATTTTGACTTTTATTTCAGTCATATCACTATCATACAAAGTGATAATAATGGTAATAATAATAATTTACAGACGAATCAATTTGCTGCAAATATTTTGATAAGAGTCACCATCGAAAATGTATACAGTTATAAAAACAGAACATAAACTTCTTAAATCATTGTGCTGGAAACATATGGTAAAAAACTGGAAACGCAACATTTTATGCTTGTTGATACGCTTCACAATTTGGCACAATTAAGCGCGTATATTAACTACTGCGTTATCACTTCCAAAACCAACTATGGCAGAAAGTGCATTCGGTCCCACGTAAACATCGTCTAGTGTTTGTTCGCATACCTATGACTACTAAGCCAACTTCATTTATTCCCTGATAAGTACAAGTCTTATGACCTGTCCATAAATAAGAACGACAATTCACTTACATATAACGATAGGATCCAAAGGTGAATTATGATGAGTGAGACAATATAAACTATAACAGATTGTTTTCTAGCTGCATATATTTTATGAAAATACCAATACAAGCTGAATACGGCATCAAACACTGACAAACCTAAGCCTTTGTATAAATAATGGCAGAATACTTTCATTATTGGGAATAAATTTGAGTCAAAGAAGAGACAGGCTATCAAATTGTGTCTCAAACTAATCAAGGTCTTATTTTAAGTTAATTAATCATGATATTTTCAGTTTGTTTTCTGTCTTGTCGCGAACTATGAGTGGCTGGACAACTTTTTTCTATGCATTATACAAGATCACTTGGAGATAATAACCATGTGTTTGATACACACGAGTTATTTTCTTTTACAATCGCCTTTTCTCTCCTAGTTTATGTTTATGAAGTAGAACTTCAGTTTAAGTTGACGAAGCACAAGTCATAAACGTGCATGTCACAGCACATAGAACTGTTTGATAAATACACTTGAAAAATTGTAACAAATGACAGATTCATACTATTAAAGAATACGTTAGATCGCTTGAATTTCGTTTGATATATTTATCTCGACAATAAAAATGGTATACATCTATGTGTGAATGAGCTTTGAGATGACGTGGTGCGTGCTACTGATGTCGACAGATATAAGTAGCATGTATCATCAATTGCAAGCGAAATGCCTGGTGGCAGAAGGTTAAGAAGAGCGAAGAGAAGAGAACGATAACAGAAAATGATTAGTGTGGGAACGAAAGAACGATCCAGTCTGAGACAATTGATAGGCGTTTTACAAATGAAGTGTTTACTGTATAGTTCTCAGATTTTACTAAGAGATTCTGTAATTTTGTATTCAAATACATTCAGTTGTCCCCACAGCTGTCCTCGTTCACTACAACGTGAGTTCAAATGTCCGTTAATCGCTTCAATTGAATTGATGAACGAATATCGTAAGATAAATATAGTGAAAAGTTGCTTCTTTCCAGTGAAACGATACACATATATGTAACATATTAAATATGGATTTGAAGTCATTTAAAACATAAGTGATAGTAAGATACATGTTTTGTAGGTCATTTGTAAATCATTGAAATTTTGATGGTAGCTAACAGATTAAATCATTTTTACACACCATATGAATATGGAAAGGAACTAAGTAGAGATATCAATAAAAATTAAGTACATTTGATAAACTAGAATAAAGATGTGAGAGTACAATAAATCCTTTGACAACATATTCTAATCTATATAATAGTGTAGGTTAATTAAGTTTTATCAGACCGGAAAATCATTATGCTTATTCTGCATATATATTGATTGAATCCGATTATAATGGAGAAAATGTAGGTTTAAAGACGTTTTTCATTATGGACTAACAGTAAGTAAGTCATATGCAACGCAGAAGCTGGAATACCTGTGAATTGTCACACTACATCAACAGTGAGATGAAATGGTCAAGATAAATTCCAAAACAGTAAAGTAATAGTCCAATAGCCAGTAACTTCTTGGACTGATGCCATGTCTTGGTTTGTCCGCTCTTAGCTGTCTGGCAACCTACCCACACATCGGACAGTAATGTGTATCAAAGTAGGCGGTGGATGGGGACATATAATACATGTTCCAACCATATCGGCTGGTCAAGGTTCACTATTCATCAATCGACTCAATATCTTTACCCAGTGCACTGTATCTAACCTCACGATGGTCTCAACATATACAAGTAATGCTTCGAAGGTATCCACGATCGGATACTAGTAACCTACGAATACCTATTTCTACAAACCATGAAATATAACGGACCAAGTCTCTGAGTAGTACACTTGTCTTTTGGTTAGCAGATGGACATGTTCCCTACCGCATACGTGATTAAATTGGTGAAGGCCAAACCGAGATTTCTGAGTTCACGCTGAAATTGCATTAGACGCCAAATCACTATAGCTGATGAGACTTTCAAGATAAGTGAATAGGTCAATACATTCAACTACTTCACTCCCTATCATTTGTTCAGGTCGTGACGTAAACCAGTCCTAAGGCGACATTTTGCATTTAGAGGGAGACAAACTCATTCCAAACATGGTTGTGTGGTTGCTTAAGATTGTTAGAATACTCTGCACTTTATCAGTATCTGCCCATCCAATTTCAAGTCAGAAGCTAACCTGGTTTCCCCTTCATGAGCCCTAGTTAAGCGTCGGAAGATTATTGAGGCTAATATTTCGGATAATATATTAGTCAAATGGACTCCTTTGTGACTGTCACAAGAGTATTTTTATTCTTCATTACAGACCAGGACAAACATCAATCAAGTCCAGTTCTCAGATTCCAAGTAGTATTTCAGTCAATCTAATAATTAGAACTGAACTATAATCCTGAAAGGTCACAGGTTGGCTGCACTCCCTCGCCTTAGCTTAGCTATGGCTTTTTCAGTTTTATCAAGATTTATGGGGTCTGTATTAATATCCCATTCAGGTTGTTTGGCAACATTACACAACTGAAAAGTAATTCGAGAGCAGTTGAACTATTCTTCACAATTTCCCACATAGTTTCAATCTGGGTTGGGAGTAGAATTTGTCACTTTTACGTTTGATTTACCTTCTCTCCTCATCGTATTCTGAGTTTGTCAGGATGAGTTCACTAGTCTCTATCAGTCCAGTGGACGCCGCTGAAATCCACTGGTTCTTAATCGTTTGCCTATAAAGTGGTGGATATCACTCCTGTTCCAGCAGCTATCCCAACATACATTGAGTTGAACATAACTTGGGTGACTAACTGCTTTTCTAGTTGTTCCTGAAATACACTCGTGATTTTTTCTAATCGTTGAGCTAATCTCAAGGTTTTCTTGCTGACTTCTCTGTATCCAGTAAGAAACATGTGTCCGTACGAGAGCATGATTAGTCTAGAAATGTGCTTCAGAATGACCAATAGTCTTCTCTCTAACCTCTCCAACGACGGCTGAGGATATAGTCTATTTGCACCCATCATTGAGTTGATTGTGGGGGTCCCCAGGTAGGACGATATCTTTAGGCTTAAATTTGGTTATTGTTAAGAATCAAAGGTTGTCTGATTATCGGCGAATCAAACGGCTGTCGTTGTCTGTTCATTGAACTGGAACACTGTAAGGCCATTTAAAATCTTTCACTTCGGTTTAGACTATCTACTTTAGCAGTAAAACCTTCTTCTACGGTTACATCTGAGGGTTTGCCTTTCTTAGGAAAGCAGAAAGCTTACTCTACGACTCATTTGAACAGTAGTTAGTGGGAGCCTGAGAGTTAACAGAAAGTTATCTCAGTATATCCCTAACTTTCCGTGTTATTAACCCCTCATTTACTCAGATTGTGTATAAATGATTGTCCACTGGGATCCAGTCTGTTTTGCTTTTAAATCTAATGGTATACAATCCAGTGAATTACGACACTTAGATCCCATATGTATGTTTCGGAGAAACCTTATTTAGATATCAAGGGATTCTAGAGTTTTATCTAAGAAAACCTGTTGTTCGATTTAACACAAGGTTCAAACATGCAGTTTACAGTACTGTTTTGGGAGACCAGGAATAACGTTTCATGAACCCAAATAGTTAACATCAGACCGACACCAAACTGGACAAACATTTACAACTATGAAGTACAGGATAGCCATTCCATTGTAGTTTGGAACCTCATAGTATACCCAATAACCTGTAAAACATTGAACCCAGTTCCTTAAAGTTTTATGAAGAACATGATATCATTTCTTAACTTTTCTCAATCTGCTATGTAAATATGATCCGTATTAGTAGATAAATGGTTTACCACATCTAATTTGGTCGACTTCCATTCGAACTTTTGCAATTCATTTTAGAGCTAGTCCTCAAAGAGTAAAATATTACAATCTGGATAAACTATTAGTGAAGATTAATATAATTCAAAAATGGTTTATCATTATGGATTGATATTATCTAGTGAAAATACTCAAAAACTATTTGACATTGAACAGTGACTACTGGTTTCAGAATAAACAGTTAAATAATCATGTGCACTCCTTTCTGTAATATATATATATATATGATCAGAATGTAGTATGTCTAAAACAATACAACAGACTTTTGATGAGAGAAAAAGTATGTTTTATTTCAATGAAAATAAGAGAATACAAAACGAGCGCCCGAAAAAAACACAGTTGTCAGCTATGATTTGGTAATTCACAGAAAGAAAAAAAAATTAAAAATATTATTGATATACTTGTTGTATGTTTAATATAGAAACAAAAGAAAATAAAGAAAAATAAGTAATATTTTAATATATCATTAAAATTTAATATTATCTAATACATTAAAAGAAAATCCAAGGGTAAATGAAAATTTTTTTTAGGCATTAGAGAAATGGAACAAAAAAAACACATCGAGAAAACTATCAACATTTAAAGAAGAAAGTCAATGGATACAGATGAGATAGACATAATGTAATAGTTTTAAATAATAAGATAAACCTTAAATAGAAAATAACAACTAGATAGACAACGATAAGATATTAGAATGAATCAATGAACTTAGACAAAAATTCAAAATAAGAGAATAGTCACACATACTGACATAATTTATGCAGAAAATAGAAATGTGTTAGAACATTTGGCAATCTTGTATATGTATATATAGGAGAGGCATAATATCCAAAAAAATAATGGTATATAAAATCTATAGTGGTAATAGTACACGATATGAATGAGGATTTATATATATATATATATATATATATATATATATATATATATATATATATATTAATATAATATATTCTTGTCAAAGTGAATTGTGAACTAAATCATCAGTGCCACCGTTACCAAACTAAGCTTGTGCTGAAAAAAAAATACATAAAAAAGCACAAGAATTGCACGAATCAATAAGTATTTTACTGAAAAACTATGAGATCTTAATCAATAACAAGAGTAGTGACATTTAAATCCAATAATTACACACTTCAATTAATCATTATTTTTTCAAGACTCTGATAAAAAAAAGGTTATATGACTGTACACGATAACCAAATACAATCCTCATGTAGTCAGAGCTTTTGATTACATGATTTGTATGAGAGCTAGCTGAGTAAAAAATACTATGTAATTGTCCTAAACTGAAGTAGAATGAAGAACACAGAGTAGGAACTTGTGAATCAATGGTTGAAAATCACAAAAAGAAATGATTGAGATATAAATGAATGGACAGATTAATGATAACAATAACATACACAAGACATATTTGTACATTAAGCTAAAAATTATACAAGGTGTAGAATAAACAAACTTAGATATTTAGTTATCCCACTGGTAAATAAACCTCATTGGGAATACGAAACAGATAACTTGAAATCTAAATAGTTGTTCAACTAAAATCAGTTAGTGATGTTAATTATCACACTGAACAATCTCCACAAATTCCCTACATAGTAATAATAATCAGGTGCTCACTGGTGACTAATTTTGTTAGGTAATTCTCATAGTTTTAGTGAGAAATTTATTTATTTATTTGAACACATAAATATTAGTACAAGAGGGCACCAAATATATATGCGCCACACAAAACAATGAGAATTCGAAGAGAAAAAAAGAAGGTAAGGAGCGTAAAAAAAGAACAATAACAACTACAGATTAGTGTAAGGTAGGTGTAATAGTGATAAAAATAATAATAGTAGTAATGGGGGAAACGGAAAGGTACAATCAGAAGAAATCTTTCAGTTAAGGAAGAAACAACCACTTTTTATGAAGAAAGTAAAAGAAGGTTACAGCAGGATCGCCACTGGCTTCTATTCTGAGCCATATCTGATAACGTCTCTAGCCACTGTGTTGCACCATCTCTCAGACCCCAGCCTGAGAGTAGTGAAGGACCAACAGAAGCCTGCCCTTTACAGATTTCTTTTATACCAAGACACCACGTCATACATTGAACACCTCTCCGCTTTTTCCAACCAGTTCCAGAGTCGACAAATAATGCACGACGTGGAATTCTCTGGAACGACATTCGGAGAACATGTCCAAGCCACCGAAGTCGGTGTTTCAAGATGGTGACACCAAATTGATTATCATCTCTGTGCCCGAACACACGATGCCGAACCTCTGCATTACTGACATGGTGTTGCCACTGAATGTCAGCAATCCTTCGGAGACAGCGATGATCGAACACAGAGAGTCGTCTAACGTCCTCAACTCGGAGAGGCCAGGTTTCACAAGCATAGAGCAAAACTGCTCTCACCGACGCGTTGTAGATCCGACCTTTTACAGCCAGACTAACATCACGAAGGCGCCAAAGGTGGCCCAGATTGGCATAAGCCGCTCTGGCTTTCACTATACGTGCATTGATCTCATCACTCACACCCCCACCAGCACTTATGCAGCTACCCAGATACACGAACTTCTCGACTACTTCTATCTGCTCACCATCCAGGGTGAGTACAGGATTAGAATCCTGCCAGTCTTGTAGAAGTACTTTGCACTTCGAAGGTGCAAAGCACATACCATACCTACGGACACTGATTGCCAACTGATTAAGTGCGGATTGCATGCCTTGGGCATTATCGCACAGTAAGACAATATCGTCCGCATACTCAAGGTCGAGAAGTCTTTCTCCAGGCAACAGATCCACACCACCATTACTTACATTCATCAGAGCTGTTTCCAGAATGTCATCGATGGCAAAGTTGAAGAGGAATGGTGAGATTGGGCAACCCTGCCTAACCCCACTGCTCGAATGGAACAATGGAGAGAGGTGGTTGTATGCCCTCACTCTGCCTGAGGTGTTTGTATATAGGGCCTTTAGGATGTTAATAAACTTCTCAGGCACACCCTTCTTCAATAGACAATCCCAGAGAACAGTCCTGTCCAACGAATCGAAGGCAGCCCTGATGTCAAGAAACACTACGATTGTTGGCCTTTGATAAGTATGGCGGTGTTCTAACATTTGGCGGAGGGTGAAGATATGATCAATACATCCTCGACCAGAACGAAACCCAGCCTGCTCCTCGCGAGTCAATCTTTCTCGGGTTTTGAATAACCTACGAAGTATAACGGAAGCCAATAGTTGTTACAGGAACGACGTGAACCCTTTTTAAAGATAGGGACAACTATCGACTCATTCCATGACGTTGGTTAACTCTCTAGTTCTCAGACCTTTGTAAACAACACAGTCAGTTCCTTAGCCAGAAAGTCACCACCATCTTTAAAAAGAGCCGGAGGTAATTCACCTGGGCCCGGTGATTTGTAGCGCTTCAAGAGTTGAAGTTCCTTGAGGACTTCCGCCTCATTTGGTGGATCAGTCGTCACCGGCCATGGAGGCAGGACAGTCCAACCGATGTTGCCGGAGTAGCAGGCCAGTTGAACTGCTCTTCGAAGAATTCCGCTCATCGTCCTAGACGTCGATGAACGTTAGTGATTGGCATCCCATCATCTTCGCAGATTGTTTCGCTCACACCAGACTTCTTGCTGCCAGTGGCTTGGATGAGTTGGAAGAGCTTCCGGTGATTACCAGATGCAGCTGCTGCTTCCAACTCATTAGCAACCTTCGACCACCAGGCTTCTAGGTACTTACGCAAGCTTTGCCCAATTTCATTACGTAACATCCTTCGTTTGTGGTCAAACTCACGGTCATCCGGAGTAGACCGATGGGCTAGCTCGGTTCGATACTTACTAGCAACAGAAGTTGCAACCAGCTTGCTAACATTAATTCTTTGGTGGTGGTCACTTCATTGTCCACTGAAAAGTAAGGTAAGATTGGCGCAGACCAAAGCATGGTCAGAGTCCAGATAGGTACTCCAAAAGGAGCAGCAGTCTTGTACACAACCACGCCAGCGGTAGCTGATCGCGATGTGATCAATCTGAGTCCAGGCTTGAGATGCAGAGGGAGGATGCCAGGTGGCACATCGGCGATGACTGTGCCGAAAGTTAGTGCTTTTCAGAAACAGGTTGTGGTCTGTGCACAGTTGCAGTAGACGGTCCCCGTTACCTGACCTGCGACCAACGGGTCCTCATCGGCCACCTAAACGACTCTCTTCTGTGCCTAGACGCTCGACCTGAGCATTCAAGTCTCCTGCTAATACTACAATGTCTGTCGAACGCACTTTCTGGAGAAGAACAGTTAACTGATGGTAGAATTCATCCTTGATTGTATCCAGGCTGCAATCTGTCATGGCATATGCGGAGATGACGAAAAGACATCATTTCTCACTTTGATGGAACTTTCTAATCTAACAGCACAGAACCGACTGTTAATGAGGATCCAGTCGATTACTGCTGCCTCAACTCTAGCGCTAGTGAGACACCAATGCCAGCAAAACCAGACGAAGATGCCACAGGGTCCCCGGATAAATGCACGTAAAACAAGCTTTTTGAAGCGACAGATGGAGAGCGAATTTGTAGTACTTCGCTAGAGTCTTGAGTACGGGTCTCGGATAGACAACAAACATCGATATTAAGACTTTTCAGAGACATAGCCAGCCCTATCTGTTGTCTGACCTGCATAAGTGTGCGAACATTGAAGGCAGCTAGTTTGGATGGTTCACGTGATTTCAGAAAAACTGCTTCAGTATTCGTATTTGGTGGTAGCGTACAATTTTCAACCAGGCAGTGACTCGAGAACGTTTAGATAGAATCGAGTTTCCGCCATAGGCGAGCTGCTGTATAAGTCGAAAAATAAAGATACACAGAGTGGGAATAAAAAAGAGTGAATAAATGACGTAAATAATAATAATAATAATAATAATAATAATAATAATAATAATGTGAATCGTTTGATTGTTAATTGAAGCAAGACAAGTATTTTCCATAAATATCGACATTTCATCATATTTATGTGTGGGCTGTGATACTGCTCGGGTGCCCGGACCGAAGCAGGTGGTTTTCTTAGGGGACCACACCCCGAGCCTTTGACCTAAAGGTCTGACCCACAAGGCATTGAGTAGGACTTCCATGGTAGTGATTGTATACACATGGCCATATGAGAGCACTTCGAGAGGGGGAGCGGAATCTCCTCCGCTCGGCCGTACCGGAGATTTTGAGGGCACCATGACCACAGGAGGTCAACTATGTTAAGTGTGAGACAGTTACTGATCAATGACAATGGAAGATGGTTCTGCGATATCGTGAATCGAATGGATCAAACTACTGGATCACTGGTCTGAAGGATAAGATCTTGCATTCAGTGTTTGGGGGATAGTGGAAGCCCACTCCCAAGGATTTACATACACGGACGAAACAACTGCCAAGTGCTTCTTGGTTTTACGTAGTTAATTAAGATCAGTTCGAAATATTAACCATGAAATTTAATTGTTTCTACAACAATAAATCGTCGAGCTATAAAGTAATATTTGGATACAAAATAACCCATGACCGTTACTTGTGTTATCATAATACATTTTTAAGACAGAAAAAACATTTCAGATTGTTGACTAGATCAGGAAAAGAAATGTTAATTTGTTTGAGATTTGACTGTCCAAATCATGAAAAAAGGTAAACTTAAAGTGCTTTGACCATTGACCATGGAATACGCGTAATAATCTGATACGATAAGCAATCAACAGGTGAGGACATATGAAAGAAACAAAGTTCATAGTTTTTTTGAATATCGGTGCGCAAAGGTAACACGTTTTATATGCACAATAACGATAGCATAGTCTTCTGGAGAGGTTTTAAAATATTTAACCTCAGTAGGTAGGAACAATGAGATTTGCATGAAATTGGATTAGATCTCTAGTAGGCTCGATGCATAATTAATGTAAGTCAAACGAAAGATATTCAAAGCATCAGATGAAATAAGACCAGAATATTAAGTTTTACATTATTTAGGATACATCATCTCTAAAGAATAACTAACAGTTATATTAGAACATAAACACGCGAATAAATTGATCATATACGGTTGCTCTATCTCTGAGAACATATTTTTCAAAAGCATAACAGAATAAAAGTATCTTGGATAAACGTACTTAGAAAAATTAATAAACACGCTAAATTATGGATATCAATGAGAATTTCTAGAACAATGTGGCTTAGTTCGCATAAGTGTGTACTGCAGAAGTAACAATGTGAATTTTGCCGGAAAGCGAAGATTGTTGGATGAAACTAGTCTTCATTGATATAGTGTGATTCATAAGTAGAATGAAACATTAGAATGCTCTTAAAATACTCAAATCACTTATATTTACGAAAACTCCAATTGCTCTGATATATGTGGGCAAGTATTGATACTGAGATGGTGGAGATTTGTAACTCAGGTGGATGATTTTGATGGAGTTTTGTTCTCTGAGCTGGATGGTTTGGTCGTGGAGCTTTCATTGTTTTTCTGAACGACATCATCGGCACAAACTTAAATGTCGTCACTGATTGTGACATTAGAAAATGTGGGTCTGAATACTATAGGGAGTACAAGTTTCCCTAATATTGCGAACATTGTTTATTAACATGTGCTAACTAGTACAAAAACAAGACTCAAGCCTTTCTGACAACTGATGACAATTATGCTTAAATAGACTTACTTGTATCATCTATTATATCTGAAAATGTTGGATTTTCATGTACTTCTGTCCCACGGAAACCACAAAGACGCATAAAGTAAGCTTCGATGGAAGCTGGCGTTTTCCTTTCGTTTCAGGTAGATACAATCCGACAAATATTAATACAGCCAACAATACACATATAAACGGTATAAAAGCATAAATATTAATATAGATCTGTGAAGAAAAAAGGAAAACACAAGAAATTAAATAGATAAGATCAAAACATTGAAAAAGCTACTCATTTTTATTTCACAAATAGAAGACCGGACATCTTAAAATATAATTGAATACATAATTCCATTTTCAAATAAATTAGCAAATAGAAATATTCAAATAAACAACGTAGGACCTAGAGCACATGTGGGTTAGTCCAGATTACCACTGTTTGTATCAGCATTATGAGTGTTTAGTATATAAAATCTCCAATCTATCATAACACAAGTTCAACAGATTGTCGCTGAAGGTGATGATTTACTGACATTTTATCTATTTTTTATGTGCTACAGAACAAGTAAGTGGACAATTTTGAGTAATACTAGGCATTAAGTACTAGGGATAAAAGGTGGTAAACCATTTAGCAAAGGTGTCAACCTTCATTGACTGAAGTTGTTGGAAATATAACTAATCAACATCTGCCGATGTATCATAGTGACCTTCATAAAAATAGATTAAAAAAATGAACAAGTCAAATCAAGATATGACATTAATTTACTAAGTCATAAAATGTTTACATGATCCTTGTGAAGAGAGATAAGGTTTTTTTAGTTTGGAATCGATCATACTACTACAATCTATGGTTGTGACCTAAATGGATTAACTCTTGATCATCTTTTAAATATTGAATACTGATTTATTTATTGATCTGTTCAAGATGATAACATATAGTGGGTTACCATCTCCACTATGACTCAACATACTTCACCGGCCATCGGTAAGAGCGATACAAAGTTACTACTTAAAATAAGCGATCATTTAGAGATGACCATGGAATATAGAGTTGCTAAATATCCCTATTTTGAACAGACTAATATTTTCAAACCTAGTACAAAATTACTGGGAACGATACGTTGTAAATTCAATTATTTCTGATCAATCTAGCATCTTGGTCATCCTAAACGTTGCCTAGATTGATAAAAGCTATGGTTATTTGCTATACAAAAATAGATCACTCTATAGTAACAACATTCAACATAACTATCTAGACGCACATACTACTCGAACATTGCGTGTACCTTAATTTTTAATTATTAGTGTTTAACATATTTGATTGTTATATATATTCATAACATCATGCTATCATTATGCTTATGAATAAAGTTAGGTAAATAACGTCTGGTAGTAAGTAATAATAATATTGTTTGATCTGTCAACAGCTATATTAGTCCTAACACATATATTTCATGGTTTTAAATCATGAACTAATATTTGCTACACCACTAGTGAAAACCAGGAAGCAATAGACAGCTGGTTCGTCCTAGTATGGGACTCCTCGAAAGTGTGCACCCACAACCTCACCACAAGGAATTAAACTCAGCTTCAGTCTTGCATCTAACGCTTAACCTTCAGAACACAGATACAACATCCAATGCTTTACATATCTAGCTTCAAACAATTAGCCATTATCTTGAGTTGCTTATGGTAGATAACTGTCTCACACCCGTCATAGTTGAACTCCACTGGTTAGGGTTTCCCACTAGAAATCCAGGAGTTGTATCTCAAAGCTACTTACCAGTAAGCATATGATTATTATCAACATATGGTCATGCATAAGCACCGTTGAGTCCCATACTAGAACGAAACAGTTGTTTAGTGTTTTTTGGTAGTTTAGCTAAGATTAGTTCATGATCTAAAAAAAATAAGAAAATTCTGTAATCTGCACAAAACTTTGAAGTGATTTATTTACTTGTCTAAACAAAAAATCATTACCTTGTATTAACAGATGATAATTAGTGTTTGTGAGTGAATGGTGAAATTTACAGTGTTAGCTACCTTTACTCTTATTATGTGTGTGTTCTTTGTTGTTTTAAGATATAAAAAAGTATGTACAGATACTTTGAACTATAAGACAGTTGATCAATATTATTAATTAAAACAAAACACCAGAAATATGCTGAAAAAATGTTAAATTAACTATTGAATTCCGATCACATTTTCCTCGTCATTGTTGTTTACAGGATTCTTTCTTTATAATTTAATTATGAATAAAGGTTATTCCGTTAAATAACAATGTAATCTTATCGGATGGGTTTTGTGGATATTATAGTAATTTTAATGGTTAAGATCATGAGTCAGTTGAAGCTTAGTTGCGTAAGTGTTATGTTGGAAGGCAATAATAATAATAAGTCAAGAAATATTTAATTAAGCCCTGAAAATTTTCAATACAAAATTAAATCCTCCATAGCGGAGTATTAGTCTAGGTTAATAAAAAAAGTGGACTTCATAGAAGCTTTTTAGGAAAAATAATTATGTTAAAATTTGGTTTTGTAATTAAGAAGCACACTTTAATGAAAAGCTTACCGAATTGAGTGAAGCAATGAAGAAATTTTTGACATTATCTGATAAAACAGGGTGAAATGCAACAATATTTATCAGTTTATGATCTTAGCTTCTAGCCTAGATTAATTACCAGGTAACTGATAAGTTGCACAGTTATTCAATATTAGTAATTAGAGGACTACTAAGAACTAAAGGATACTAAGATACTGCTTTGTGGAAGTCTGTAATTCTTTAGAAGTGTATAATAACGACTTTACATGGGCTAGAACCTGGGGCATTCTGGTCTTGTAGTGAGTGTGGCACTTTTAAACATCTATGAATCCAGTGGTCCGTATTTCCAACTTTAGTCGGTTCGTGATGGGGTTCTGGTTATATTATTGTGTTGTAGTTGCAGACAGTTGAAAAGTTTGAAATTAGAAGCAAATAGTTGTTAACTTTCAGTGGTTCTCTAACTGATATCCGACTGTAGTGAAAACTTGATATCTTGTAGTGTGATTCCCTATGTTTGTAATCCAATGCTTCAGTAAAAAGTTATCGTTAAAAAATCTTATTTAAACGATATTTGCAAGGTCTGACAGTGGTACCTAATGTAAAAAGTATCACTTGAATATGTGCATTTATTAATTAGACATTTTATTTGATAACTAGAACCAGAAAGCTAAATATACCACACAAACACTAATCAATTCAGTTGTTACCTAAATTTCATATGGCAATAATCGAGCGAGTGCTGAAAACTAAGTCCAAAACAGTTATTTAAACTGGTTTGGTGCTTTCAACTCACTGCAACCATCTATAATAAGCATAAAGTAAATTGAAATATAGAGGTAACCTCGTTAGGTTTGTAACAACGAAACATTATTCCATGATCGCTGTTATCTAATTAGTTAGGATTTATCTTAGCTTTCTTTAATATAGTGACTACTTATCAAAACCTCTTAATCAACTGGCTCTACGGGTAAATAGAAAAATGAGACTCAATATGTATATGAGATGTTAAGCGCATCTATTGTAGAAACTAAAAGCTGTACTAGGTCATCCAAACTTTCTTAAGTGGGAAACAAAGTCTTGAATCTGTGATCTGAAATGTTTCCAGAGAAATAAACCAATCCTTGGGAATAGCAAACTTTATTAAAACTTGACTGATGAATTTGAATGCTGTTAATTTCACGAAAATCGAAATCCCTCTATAAGTAGACCATACAGTGTAAGGACATGTGAACTATTTTCACAACGAACAATGGTACAGAAGTTAGCCCAGTTGGTCATCAAATATTCTGAGAAAACTTATGATTTTAAAGTACGCAAAAAACTACAAAATAATCAGTTGTTACATAGACTCCAGTAAGTAACATCGACTGAACTTTACTATTAATTGCAAAATTGTTACAACCGGACTATATGGAATAATCGAACGCAATAGCATGATAGACAAAGTTCTAGAGTTTAGCAAAATCTTATTGAGCGATAGTTTATTAGTCTAGATCAGTGGAACGACATGAATTTTCTCGTTGAAAAGATATATTTGAATTCTAATCATAACAGTAACACTGTGAAAGACGATAACTAAAACTAGTTCGTTGTTTGAATAAGAATTATGTTACAGCTGAAGTTTGGATAAGGATTACAACATTGAAAACATCAAAAGTATTTTGATAAACTCAAACAGCAATGCAAGCACATTTGGAAAGGGCTTTTCTCCTTCTAAATGCAAAATGATTCTTCAGAATTGGTCATTGTTAGCATTTAAACTAACGATTGGAAGTGAAATAGTTTATTGTTGGTCATTCCACTTATCTTGGGAGTCTCATCAGTCCTAATGGGTTGGTGTCTGGAGAAATCTTGTCACGAATTCAGAAATCCCCGTTTGCTTTTGACAACTGGAGTCAATTGTGGGTAGGGAGTGTCCATATGCACAGCTTTGTATATCATGGGACCATCGAGTAAGTAACACAGTTGTTAGGAAACGGGTACTAGGTGAGGATGGCAAATCAATTGATGAAGTAGTGAAACTTCATCAGTTGAGATGGCTTGGACACGTGATACGTATGCCCAACGACCAACTGCCTCGACGTGCTATGTTCAGTGGTATAGGAGTAGGTTGGAAGAAAGCTAGGGGCGGCCAAACCAAAACATGGCACAAGTCCATGAAGTCACTGACAAGTGAACTCTGTCATGTTGGTAGGTGTAGACTACCTGGTTGGGGACTGCGAGATGATAGCAACCGATGGTTAGAGACCCTGAATGACATGGCTCAAAATCGTTTGCAATGGCGCAGGTGCATCCACTCTCTGTGTTCTCCCAAATTCTAATCTTCTGAATCCTTCATGTCCCTTTTTTCCTCTTTCCAAATTTATTTCACTGGATTATACTCTTTAAATAACATCTCCAAACCCTAATCTTCCCGATTACTGCTTATACTCTTATTACCTCTACCACTACGGGATTTGAATCGACAACTGCATCTCTGTGTTAATGTGGTGTGGCAACTCGAACTGATGTACGTACGTACGAAGTTCTACGTTGTTACTGACTGACTGAGTGTCCATATGCTAACCAAAAGATGAGTACACTTCCCAGCAGTTGGCCGTATCCTACTTTATGGCTATAAAACATGGTTTATGAAAGTAGCAGATACGTGTGTCAAAGCATACATTAAAATGATCGAACCCAGATAGATGGTTCACAAATTAACTGTATGCTAAGCATATCGTTCAACCATGTTAATAATGCTGGCTGTAGAATTTTTGAACCATATATTTGTATTTGGTAACTTTTATGTATGATTATTTTCCAGACTGTTGAGCGGAATGTTTGGGTTATTTCGACTTCAACTGCTGTATTTATTTATTTATTTATTTGAACACATGAATATTGGTACAAGAGAGCACTAATATATATGCGCTACACAAAACAATGAGAATTCGAAGAGAAATAGAAAAAAAAACTAAGGAGCGCAAAAGGAAAAGAGAACAATAACGAAGAGATTGGTGTAAGGTAGTGTGGTAGTAACGAGGGAACGAAAAGGTACAATCAGAAGAAATTTTTCAGGTAAGGGAGACACAACCACTTTTTACGAAGAAAGTAAAAGAAGGTTACAGCAGCATCGCCACTGGCTTCTATTCTGAGCCATATCTGATAACGTCTCTAGCCACTGTGTAGCACCATCTCTCAGACCCCAACCGGGGAGTCGTGAAGGACCGACAGAAGCCAGTCCTTTGCAGCTTTCTTTCATACCACGACACCATGTCATGCACTGACCACCTCTCCGCTTCTTTCAACCAGTCCCAGAGTCGGCAAATAATGCACGACGTGGAATTCTCTGGGACGACACGTTGTAGATCCGACCTTTTACAGCCAGACTAACATCACGAAGGCGCCAAAGATGGCCCAGATTGGCATAAGCCGCTCTGGCTTTCACTATTCGTGCATTGATCTCATCACTCACACCCCCGCCAGCACTTATGCAGCTACCCAGATACACGAACTTCTCAACTACGTCTATCTGCTCACCATGTCTATGGAAATTACTTTTCTCACTTCAACTGCTGAGGTTTTTACAACTATAGTTTCCGTTTTTAAAATCTTCCATTGACTCAATGCCCAAATATTATGCAACTATTAGTTCGAATTTCGACGAAAGTTCTTACAAACCACATTGATATATATATATTCGAACTAAAAGTTGCATAATATTTGGACACTGAGTTAATGGAAGACTTTAAAAAACGCAAACTATAATTGTAAAAACCTATATATAAACATACTTGTCGGCATATTTTTCAACAGGGTATGCAATGTATTCTCACCTCAAATTTTGTAGCTCAGCTCCAAAATGGAGGAATGGTAGGCAAGGAAGATACAGACGCAGCATATGCTAGTTCAAGGCCAAATAATAGGTGAGAGACGTTGATGGATCAACGTTGCTGGCCGGGCTTTGGTTACATTATCTGAGTGACACATGTATACATATACACAACCCTATACTGATAATCATGATGTGCTTACTAGTGACTAACTTCGAGAGGTAATTCTCAGAGTTCTAGTGAGAAGCCGCAACCAGTGAAGTTCAACCGTTTTGGTTGTGAGGAAGTTACTCATCGAGAACAATGGAAGATGGTCACGCAATATAATGGATTGACTGAATTTAGACATTATTACCGGTGAGTGTCAGCTCAGTGGTCGAAAGGTTAAGCGTTCGCGCGAAACCAAAGGTCCTGAGTTTGAGTCCCGCGTGCGGAATTATGGATGTATACTGCTAAGGAGTCCTATACAAGGACGAATAAGCTGTCCGGTGCATCCAGATTTGAAAATAGTGATCTAACATCGATCGGTTTATGATCTCAGTGAAAATCAATAATCTACACAACCCTATACTGATATATCACCAAGTTTGTGTGCATTTTCACTTGGATTCCCAATACAACTTCTGATTTATTCTTAGTCTGTTCACTCAACTACCAAGTTAGGCTTTCGTATGGAGAGAGTGCATAAGAGTATCGGGATCGGACGACCGTTAGACAACATTTCTGTCATGTATTTTGAAAAAGACTTATAATGCTACAAGTTTCCGGTTAACTTTCTTTACATGCCCAGTGTGGTTATGAAATCACAACTGTCTATCTGATAATTCTTATTTCAAACCCTATCCTATTTGTACATCCATAATGTAGGATTTCATCTTATGTGGTACATTACATTACTCTACACTTATATAACACTAATCTTATGCTTTAAACAAACAAACAAAAAATCGAAATAATTAAGAAAATCTACAACTGATAAACATAGAAAAAGATTACGTATACAAAGCGTTATCATTACTCATAAATAACAACAGAAATTAGACTGATTCAACTTACAACCAACTGTGGGAATATTAATGCTACAATAGCATTGCATAACCAGTTGGTTGCTGCAGCAATAGAGACAGCAGCATCACGATTTTCTTGCGTAAACAATTCAGAAACCAAAAACCATGGAATAGAACCTAAAATAGTTTTTTTCGAAAGAATCTTTTAAGAAATTCAAAAGGAATGGTGGTTTTTAATGTAAACTTTATCTGAAATATTGTACTGTTTCTAAACAGTATCAATCGCTAAGAGGTAATAGTTTAAACATAAAATCAAATGTATGGAACTAAGTTTCATAACTAGTACAATTTTCTAATAGTAAAGACATATGTTTACTTACTTACGCCCGTTACCCTTCGTGGAGGAGCATAGGTTGCCCACCAGGGGGACACATGTAAAACTTATAAATATATGTCCTCCTACATCTAGTTCGGATTTGAGTCAATAATGAAAACCAACTTTACCGATAAGTGTAAACAACAAGATTCTCAACAACATTGCTTCTTTATTCTGTTATCTGGGAACATACAGAAAGCTGGAAATTTTACATTTTGAAATGACTTTCCAATGTCGGTGTTAATTTTTCATAGAGAATAATAATAATTTGTTAAATACTTGCAAAAATAAAATGATCGAGTCTGGAGTGTTATAGTCTCTCGTCATTAGTTGATACATTTTCTCTTTCAGTCTCCTTAGGAGTACAGATAGTTCTATGATACTAGTATTTATAAAGTATTGATTCTCTATGCAAACTTTCAGTACAACGACAATCTGTTTTGAACAATATTCATTTCCCTTCTCCTCATCTCTCATTTTTACCAACACATTCTCATACATTTAATTCAATATCTGTATATTCACTTAGAGATAACAATATAAGCCTACTACTAAATGTGTATTTTAATCTCCTGAAACAGAGCTATTCAATGCACAATGAGACTCTCAACGTCTATGCTGTAGAGTGGATGAGAAAGAAGTATTGAGGGGTTTATTAATATTATGGATGAATTCTGTGTTTATGATGTACTTAAACAAGACTCGAGTTTGGTCGTTCAACTGATCTTAAATGCAAAGTAATTTGGTTCTGTGTAAGCAGTATTCCTCTTTTTACAGATTGAGCACTCAGTTTTTATTGAGACAGCATCATTTTTCATGCTGAAATGGATCCTTTCAACCGAATCGCAGTTGTGATTTTCTGGGACACAGAAAGATAGTAATGAAAATTCATCCTGTTTTTAAGTATAATTTGATGTACTTATCGGCTACTCTGTTTTATGTAAATGGATTCAAAAACTTAGTTTCAGCTACTACTCCCGGAAGATCGATGCTGAAAATAATCTGAGTATGAAAAAGCTACCATCTCTACGAAACAACTTCATGTACTCTTAAGCTTACGAATATTCAGTTAAAGGGACTTTTAACTGAATTATACAGATCCAAGCATATCTAATTGATTCCAGATGATCGCCGGCTGTAGTCATGGAAACTGGAAAATACCACGATGTACGAAGACTACAGGTTTAGACAATAATTGCTTCCGATGCTATCACAAGGGAAGGAAATCGAAGAGTTAAATGACATCAATATCTGTTTAGAGACTTTCTAGAGGAAATTTAGTGGTCACCTAAAAGTCAAGAGAATATTTTAATAATAAACTGTAACACTAGATGAAAAACAATGCAGCAGTTTAAAAAATAAAGTTTGAATCCTTATAGCATTTTTATCAGATATTTTACAGTTATCTAATTTGTTATCAAATTTCGAAAACTTAATACTGTGTAAAAGATGGGGCAAAATGATGCAGTTATTTGTTCTGAGATGCCTGGACATTATTCGATGTAATATTGAGAAGTAGTTCAATCCGCGAACTGACTGTTATTATCAACTACTTTTACTTATAACAAATACTAGTCTATCAAGAACTAAACAAGCATGATATTGGCTACTAATTAGCGAAGAATAACTGAAAATACTGTAGTCCTTTTAAGTGTCGGTCGCCACTCGAACATTTAAGTAATGACATATTAAGATGTGGTGCTGAGTGACAGAGGTTTGAACTCCATAGGAAGCATCAGTACTCTCAAGATTACAGTTACGCCTTGCTGACGAGTGCCACTTACTTACTTACGCCTGTTACTCCTCTTGAAGAAGCATAGGCCGCTCACCAGCATTCTCCATCCAACCCTGTCCTGGGCAATCCTTTCTAGCTCCCTCTAGTTGTTATTCATCCTTTTCATATCTGCTTCTATTTCTAGACGTAATGTGTTCTTTGGCCTTCCACTTTTCCGTTTCCCTTCAGGATTCCAAGTTAGGGCTTGTCTCGTGATGCAGTTTGACGATTTGCGTTATGTATGTCCTATCCATTTCCATCGTCTTTTCCTAATTTCTTCTTCAGCTGGAAGTTGGTTTGTTCTCTCCCACAGAAGGCTATTGTTGATGGTATTGAAGATTCTCACTTTGATATTGGTTGAAAGTTGTTTTGAGTTCCATATGTTCTTCAATTGTAGGAATGCGACCCTTGCTTTGCAAATCCTCGTCTTTACGTCTGCATCTGAACCTCCTTGTTCATCGATGATGCTTCCTAGGTATATGAAGGACTCTACATCTCCTAGAGTTTCGCCATCAAGAGTGATTGGATTGGTGTTCTCCGCTTTGAATTTGAGGACCTTGGTTTTCCCTTTGTGTATGCTGAGGCCTACTGATGCAGAGACTGCTGCTACACTGGCTGTCTTTATCTGCATCTGTTCGTGTGTGCGTGATAGGAGGGCTAGGTCATCTGTGAAGTCCAAGTCGTTTAACTGGTTCTGAGCTGTCCATTGTATTCCATGTTTTCCTTCAGATGTCGAGGTTTTCATAATCCAGTCGACCACCAGAAGAAAGAGGAAGGGGAGAGTAAACAGCCTTGTCTGACTCCGGTCCTTACTTGGAATGCATCTGACGAGTGCCAACTAACGCAAAAACTAGGCGATAGTTTCCTATTGATTGCCTCAACTCACTCAAAATGCATTTGCTTTACTAGTAACTGATGAATAAAATAAAGAAAAATTATGCAAGTACGCAAAATGTACACTCAATTTCAATATAGGTGCTATCTGCCTCAACGTTAAATAACACAATAATTGAAAAGTTGCTTCTTCAACAGTAGTATACACAGTAATACTATCACCATACATGGGAAAACTATGCAGAAATCAAACTACTTGCTTACTGACTTACCTAAACTCACTGAAAATCCAAATAAAAACGTATATGTCAATACAATAGATAGAATTGTGAGTTTATTGATTCCAGTCATTTGTTTAATAATCAAAGTTAAAGTGAATAGTAAGAGGCTAAAAAGGCAAGCTGATATTCCAAAGATTAATAAAGGACGTCTGCCTTTCCGATCGATAATAAATATGGATGCCAATGAACCAATTAGAATAGTAACTCCAGTACCAAGATTCGCATAGCTTGCAACTTGTTTTGTTAACCCATTCGATATGAATAAACTTACGAAGTAGTAAAGAATCTGAAGTAAAAAATAATAACATTTCAGCAGTACCGTGAATAAAACATACATGATATAACTCGATGAAAAGAAAAAAGCCAAGAGGGCAGATGAAAATTCATTATACGACAAAAATAGATCGGAAACTGCATCCCAATACATTAATTTTTATGAGTTTTACTTACACTGACTAATAATTAGATTTCGAATAAGTTTAACTGAATAGTATTTATCTATTGATTAATAAAAGAATACAATTTATAGATTACCGTAAGTTCGAAGTTCTAAAACTAACATGTATAGCTGACTAACTGAGTTATATGTCTGGACCTTAGTGACAGAAAGAAAAAGATATCATTTTTATTAAACGATTAGTCAAATAAATGTACGGAATGAGTATTTTATATGTGATACACTATAAAATCTATTCACTCATTTCTTCGTTGAACAGAAATATTCAGGGATAACAGTTGGTATAATTTGAAATTCGATCAGTTAAAACAACGTAGGACCTGGTACAAAGGTTCATTAGCCTAAGCTGCTATACCATTTCAGCAGACCGAGATGAGAATAACTATGAATCCAAATAATAACCATGTTTAAAACTGTGAAAACGATCAAGGAGAACATGCTCGGGAAATAAATAAAATTGAGGAATAAAAAGTATGATATAATATTGAAACTCAAGATCTAGAAAAAGACAAATAATTAGTGTATCTGTAGCACCGAAAACGAGTTTCAGCCATTTATCTCATCAGGATTTCAGTTTGAGAGTCTGAATCTCCTTGCATGACCTAGTCCAACAGTTAAAGCCTTCATGTACTAACGTGACGTTTCGGTTTGGCTACCCTCAGCTCTTTCAACATACTTAAAGATTAGACAACTAGCAGATTTTTACTGACTGAAAGCAGTTGGATTTGTTTTCAACTAAGGATTAAGAATTTAAACTATACCACTATGCTATAAAACACCAATTATCATTATTATTTACGTACATAAGCATTAATATAAGGTGGAACCAAAAATATATATACACCAACAATAAAAATGAGGTTGTGAAGAGAATGAGAAAGGAAAGTGAGTACAATAAAAAACAACAACAATGAATAGAAAATAGTTTATGAGAGTGAGATAATAATAATAACGGGGGAAGCTTTTCAGTTAACAAAAATACAACCAGAAAGGATTCTTTCAGTTAAAGTTACTCTCACTGTTATGAGGAAAGTAAAAGAGAGTTACAGAAGGATCTCTATTAGCTTCTATTCTGAACCATGTCTGATAACGTCTGAAACCAAGGTGATGTATAATCTCTAGGATCCCCAACCATGGAGTAATGAAGGGTTAACAGAAGCCAGTCATGCACAGCTCTCTTGCATACTACGGCACCACGTCATGCATTGACCATCTCTCCGCTTTTTCCAACCAGTCCCAGCGTCGGCAAATAATGCACGGTGTGGAATTCGCTGGGAGGACATTCGTAGTACATATCCAAGCCACCAAAGTCGGTGTTCTAAAATGGTGACACCAATTGAATTATCGTTACTATGCCCTAACACACATTGCCAAACCTCTGCACTTAGTGTTGTCACTGAATGTCGGCAATCCGTCGGAAACAAAGATGATCAAACACAGAGAGTTGCTTAACATACTCAACTTTCGGAGAGGCCAGGTTTCAGAAGCATAGAGTGAAACTGCTCTCACCGACGAATTATAGACCCGACATTTTACGGCCAGACTAACAACATCAAGGCGCAAGAGATGGCCCAGAATGGCATAAGCCGCTCTGATTTTGATTAAATATGAATTGATCTCATCACTCATGTCACCACCAGCACTTACACAGCTACCCAAATACACAAATCTCTCGACTACTTTTATCTGCGCAGTACCAAGAGTGAGTGAAGGTTCAGGGTCCTGCCAGTCTTGTAAAAGTACTTTGCACTTGGAAGGTGTAAAGCACAGCCATACCTACGGATACTGATTGTCAACTGATTAAGTACGGGTTGCCTGGCTTGGGTATTATAGCACAGTAAGACAATATCATCCGCATAATTCATGCCGAAAAGTCTTTCTCCGGGTAAAAGATCTACACCACCATTACCTACATTTATCAGAACTGTTTCCAGAACGTCATCAATGGTAAAATAGGGGAGGAAAGGTGAGACTGAGCGACCCTGCCTAATTGCATTAGCTGAATGAAACAATGGAGAGAGGTGGCTGTATGCTCTCACTCTGCCTGAAGTGTTTGTACACAAGGCCTTTACGATGTTCATAAACTTCTCAGACACACCATTCTTCAACGGAAGGTCCCAGAAAACAGTCCTGTTCAGCAAATCGAGGGTGACCCTGACGTCAAGAAACATATCGATTGTTGGTATGCAATAAGCATGGAGGGGCTCTAACATTTGACAGAGGTTGAGGATATGACGAATAAATCCCCGATTAGAACGAAAACCAGCCTCCTCCTTGCGAGTCAATCGGTTCCAGGTCTTGAGCAATCTGCAAAACATGAATGAAGCCAATAATTCAGATGCAACCGGAGACAGAGTTATTCCTCGATAGTTGTTGCATAGGTAACGTGAACCTTTTTTAAGGATACGGACAACTATCGTCTCATTCAACGATGTTGGAACACTATCTAACCACCAGACGTCTGTAAACAACTAAGCCATTTCCTTAACCAGGTCGCCACCATCTTTAAGAAGGACCGAAGATAAGTCATCTGGGTCTGGTGATTTGTGGCGCTCCAAGAGTTGAAATTCCATGCGTACTTCTGCCTCGTCAGGTGGATCAGTCGTCAAAGACCAGGAAGAGCAGGACAGTTTGATCGATGTCACCGGGGCGGCAGACAATTTGAAATGCTCCTCGAAAAACTCTGCCCATCGTTCAAGACGTCGGTAGATGTCATTGATTGACATCCCATGAGATTAACACATTGTTTAACTCATACACGACTTTTCGCTGCCAGTGATTCGAATGAGTTGAAAGAGTGAACAATATGATTTCAGGGTGAGATGAAGAGGGAGGACGCTAAGCAGCCCATCGGCAGTGATTGTTTCAATAGTTATTGATAGCCAGAAACGGGTTGTAGTCTGCACAAAGTTGCAATAGACGGTCATCGTTATCTGGCCTGTGACCAACAAGTTCGCATTAGCAGATCACGTGAACTTTTAAAAGTTTTATTATACAACCTACAAATCAATGTATAGATAAGGCTTACAACTCAATCTCTGAGAAATGAATGACTAAACTGCCGGGACGCAAATTCGATAATTCTCGACTACCTTAAGCTTCCAAAACTATTATTCATATATGTATCAGCATACGGTACTCGTTTTGTCTATTCTTAAGCGCTGAGGATAAGTAAGGCACATTAGAAGACTATATATATATATTGCGGTGGGAATGTGTCCACGTTACCAATATTTCTGCCCGACCGTTGTTGCTACCTTGACATGGTGGTCGGGCTTGCCTAACGTGATGAAACAACCGAGCTATACTGGCTAGAACAACCGTTCCTCAAGGTCCTACCATGTCAGACAGGTCGGTTGAAGAGCGGTAAGACTAAAAGCAACAAACACAAGGTCCGAAGGCGAAGTCGTACTGCTGACTGTACAGAGGTGTGACAGCAGTAAGGTGTTTCCTTCAGACAACCAGCATGACAGCGATGCTGCCTTCCCACAAGGAGGGGTGGGGTTAGAAAAGGTCGACCCTAAAAATGCACACCTCGCCTTATCCCACGGATATCCGTCTCCGGCGGTAAGGTCTTAAGAAGTACGGAGCTAACACAAAAATCAACCATAAAAAGGTCGTGTGTGACCGACCTCAAGCAGTTGTCCCTTGGGCACTGCGGTCACGCTCTCAGGTCACTAAGACCACCTCTAATCCAATTTCCTTTTCAGGTACCTCCAGAAGAACCCTTCCACGGTGTGGGCAACCGGGAAGTGATAACCGCCCTCATACCTCTAACAGCACTCAAGACCACTGTATTCATAATCAACCTCCTCTTCAATTCCTATTATTCCTCCTACATCGACTTTCACCTCTAAACTTCCTTTTCGGCTTCCTCCTCAAGTGTCACCATAGCCAACGATTCTAGTGCTCAAAACACTGTCCCAGGTCTACTGAAACCTCGCTCCAAACTACACATTGGAGCCTTCAACGTACGCACCCTATGTCAAATCGGTCAGCAGGCTTCCTTGGCTAAAACCCTAGAATCTCTTTCCATTGATGTATGCTGTGTCTCCGAAACACGCATACAGGATCCAGTGTGGTCATTCACTTGACCTCACCTCGGCAAAACGGAGAGCCAACGAGATACACCCTCCGTGTATCTGGTGACCCGATGGCCAGTTCTCGTGGACTGGCAGGTGTAGGCATAGCACTAAGCATGAGGGCGGAACAAGCACTGCTAGAGTGGATCCCCGTCAACAGTCGTTTATGTGCTGTTCGGCTAAACGGCTCCGTAAGAACTCGGAAGGATAGGGACACACGTCGTTGCCTTTTTGTCGTTTCTGCCTACGCTCCCACTGACTGCAGCTCAGATGAAGTGAAAGATGAATTTTACAGAAAGCTATCTGAACTTCTTCAGAAAGCTAAACGCTCAGACATAGTACTCGTAGCAGGTGACTTTAATGCCCAGATAGGTAGTTTAAACCAAACAGAAAGGCATTTAGGTGGGTATTTTAGTATTCCGGCACAGCGAACAGATAATGGTGATCGTCTGCTGCAACTGTGCTCAGACAATCGTTTATTTTTAGCAAACACAAATTTTAAGCATAAGGAGAGACATCGTCTAACATGGCGACCCCCTACACCAAACCAACGATGGACTCAAATAGACCATATTGCCATCAGTCATCGTTGGAGAGGGTCGGTAGAAGATTGTCGCTCATTCTGGAGTACCTGCTTGGACTCCGACCATGCCCTAATACGGGCACGCATCTGCTTGCGCCTCACTGGACGCAAAAAAGCCACATTAAAAAGACCCATTAGAACTGAATTGAGTAGCGAGAAAACCAAAAGTAGGTTCCAGGAACAACTGAGGTCACACTTAGGTAGTTCTGAAAACGAGGCTGACCCAGATGTTGCTTGGAAAGCTATACAAACAGCTGTGGAAACAGCAGTGACATCTATCAGTGATTTAAACCACAAGGTTACAAAGAACCAATGGATTTCCTCAAGGTCTATTTCACTGATGGATTCTCGTAAACTCATCCCATCAGGCTCTGAACACGATGAAGAGCGACAACAAATCAGATCTAGGTTAAGCAAAAGTCTAAGGAACGACCGTGAGCAGTGGTGGGCAACGAAAGCAAAAGAGATGGAAAAGGCGGAGGCTATAGGGAACACAAGACAGCTCTACAGACTAATAAAAGAAACTGGAATTAATAAGTCAAGTGTAAGTCAGATTATTTCGGAAAAAGACGACACTCTCATCTGCTCCCAGTCCAGACGTTTAGAACGATGGGCGGAACATTTCAGAGAACAGTTCAGCTGGCCTTCAGCTACTCTACAACTACCCTCCATTCCCAGACAGTGTGAATGGAACATTGAAGTAGGTCCCCCAACTCTAGCAGAAGTTCAAAAGGCTATAGTTAATCTGAAACGAGGAAGGGCAGCTGGTCCAGATGGATTGGCTCCAGAGGTCTTTAAGGATGGTGGTCCAATTTTAGCGATTAGGTTGACTAATATTTTAGCTAAGATCTGGGAGTTAGACGTTATTCCATCTGACTGGTCACAATCACTTATCGTCCCAATATATAAGAGAGGGTCAAAATCATCCTGTGACAACCACAGAGGGATTAGTTTAACTAATATAATATCTAAAATACTAGCCTCGATAATTATCAGACGCCTAACTAAGACTCGTGAACTGCAAACACGAGAGAATCAAGCTGGCTTCAGACCTGGTCGTGGCTGCATCGACCACATATTCACCATTCGTCAGGTTCTAGAACATAGGCATACTTATCGGCGTCCGACAATGGTGGTCTTTCTTGACTTAAAAGCAGCATTTGACTCTGTAGACCGCGAGATTCTGTGGCAGTGTCTGTCATTGAAAGGCGTACCTCAGAAGTACATAAACCTTGTGAAGGCTCTTTACTCGAACACTACTAGTCGAGTCAGGGCTTATGGCGAACTGTCATCTGCTTTTGCAACCTCAAGTGGTGTCCGTCAAGGCTGTCCACTTTCTCCATTTTTGTTTAACTTCATCATAGACCTATTGATGGAAATAACATTCTCGTCGACTGAATTCTCGGGTATTGATCTCCTTCCAGGAGGTCCACTTATCGACTTAGAATACGCAGATGACATAGTCCTGTTTGGTGAAGACGCTGACAAAATGCAGAGTCTTTTGGTAGCACTAAGCAACAATGCCAGAATGTTTGGAATGCGCTTCTCTCCCTCTAAATGCAAGTTGTTGCTTCAGGACTGGTCTGCGTCAACACCTGAACTAAGGATAGGGAGTGAAGTAGTCGAACGCGTTGACAACTTCACTTATCTTGGAAGTCTGATCAGCCCTAATGGGTTGGTGTCTGACGAAATCTCAGCACGGATTCGAAAAGCTCTCTTGGCTTTTGCCAACTTACGTCACCTATGGCGAAGGCGAGATATCCGTCTATCAATAAAAGGACGAGTATACTGCGCGGCAGTCCGTTCTGTTTTAATTTACGGCAGCGAAACATGGCCATTAAGAGTAGAAGACACTCGTAAGCTACTAGTATTTGACCACAGATGCCTTAGAAATATTGCTGGCGTCTGCTGGGATCACCGGGTAAGTAATAGTGAGGTTAGACGCAGGGTATTAGGGAATGATGGTAAATCAGTTGATGAGGTTGTGAATCTTCATCGACTGAGATGGTTGGGCCACGTGTTACGTATGCCTGAACACCGATTACCACGACGTGCAATGCTAACCGGTGTTGGAAATGGTTGGAAGAAATTTAGGGGTTGCCAAACCAAAACGTGGCATCAGTGCTTGAAGTCACTAACTTGTAGTCTGAGCCATGTTGGTAGATGCAGACTACTTGGTTGGGGTCCGCGTGACTATCGTAACCAATGGTTGGAGACTTGGTGACATGGTTCAGAATCGATCACAATGGGGTCGGTGTATACACTTACTGTCTTCCCTCAAAGAACTCGATGACCCGAACAACCAATAAAGGAGAAATAAGGGGAAAAATGCGTTAGAAAATGAAGAGGAAACGCGCCAAAATGTCTGCTTCATGTCATTCTTTCTAAGAACTAATTCTTTCTTCCTGTACTATGATCCTGATTGCAATCTTTCTTTTATATATTACCACCTCTGAATTAACTACTTTTATGAATCCGGTGTCCATCTTGTGTTAATGAGGTATGGCAACTTGGACCGATGCATATATGTGCCTGGTCCTACGTTGTAGCTGACTGACTGACCAATATTTCTAAGCTTGAAATTTTGCAGGTTTGAAGTTTTAGCTAGGTAATTTAGTAGCTTGACTCTCAATTACTGAGCAATGAATTTCATGAGCTTCGACCTAACTACGTAGTAATTTAAGAGGTACAAGTGACAGAAAAGTGTGAGAATTTCAAAAATTTCGAACATTCATATTATAAAGAAAGTGAAGTATAAAGGAACAACTTAGTGAGGACGAAAACATTAACGAATAAAAGAAATCGATATAGTGAAAAATTGAAGATAATCGTAGGCTAAATAAAAGGTTAGAAAACTCAGTTTACACACACAACCATGGCTGGAATTAGAAAATTATAGAAACAAAGTTGAAAACAACTTAAAAACCACATTAGTGTGTTAAGCACATATATTTACACTTTAAAATCAAGATTTGATTAACCAGTGCTGTGAAGGAAGAATCCCCAAACTTTGAGAGATCACATATCTTTTCTGAAAACACAAAGACATTCTAGCACAAAGCACCTAATGCTTAAGGCAAATAATCTGCTTTTGATTTGTGAACGCTACCACTTAGACGGAGTTAAGCTAATTATACACTTGTTTTTTAACTTGATTAGCTACAAATAAATGAATGGAAACTGAATCGGAGATACTTTGACTAAAATAACGGTCCTAGGTACCTTTCATAATTGCACAGAAGTGAAAGAGGTTTGTAAAATTAAAAAAAACTTATCAAAAAGCAACAACGGATAATCTTTGAATTATTTTCTTGTTGTAAAGCTAGTGGACATGACAACAAATAATTCAAGAAATATAAGGGTTGTTAGGAAAAGTGACACCTGGAAATCAAAGTTACTTACTCCATTTATACCGGAAAACTGTTGGCCAATATGTAGTACCAAAGCTACAATCAGTCCCCATCGCAAGTATGGAATACGTAGTAGGTCGCAAAAATTTGATTTGTGTGTAGATGACTGTTGTGTCTCCATTTTTAGTAGTTCTAATTCAGCATGTACATCGCAATCTTGCCCTCGAAGGTAAACCAATGCTATACATGTAAAGTGAATGATACAATATATAGTACATTACCATTTTCTGACCTTCGACGATCACCTTTAATAATGTATAAGTAAGTAGGACTTTCAGGACAAGTGGACAGAAGTAAAATATGTATGACACTGGAAACGGTACATAAAGCTTTCAAAATATGAGCATTTTATTATCATACCAAGTAGATATGGCCATAATTCAGTTGTCCCCATCACTTCAGGCAGACCAAGCACTTGTGACAACAGTATAGCGAAAACAAGCACAAACTGATTGAAAGTTCCCGCAGCTCCACGGAAATTGACAGGAGCTATTTCTGACAAAAACATAGGCCCAACGACTGTATGAGCGCCTTTTGAAATATTTCATAAATTATAGAATTACCACAAGCTATCCCAATTGTAAATCTCCCAACAATAATCATTTCGAAAGATTGTGCCATTTTCGAAAACATCATCAGGAGTGACCCAATTACAGTTGGGATAGAAAGCAGAAATAGTGATTTTTTCCTGACAGTAAACTGTAGAATAAAAACAACTTACCGGCCCAACTTGTTAGCCAAAACGCCACCAATCAAGCCTCCAAAAAATCCCCAAGGAGGAAGGACGTAACACAGATTGACCATATCAAGTCAATGCAACGTCCATCACATGTGACTGACCTAGCAACCAGAGTAGTATTTATGAAGCTTTTGATCAGCTAAATTAAGTTTTCTGTTTATTATTAAACAGTAACTTACGTCAGCAGGTGCATTTATCACTCCAGTGTGATATCCAAAAGGAAACGCACTCCCCAATGTTATGATACAATATGGCAAAAGGAACTTCAGTCGTCTCATTGATTGCATTTTATTCAAAATGTATAAAGCTGAAAAACGATTCACAAAACGGTGAAAAGTTGTAGGTAAACATGATCCAATTAGAGGTAAAACGATAAAGCGTAAATTTCGTATGGGATTGGGAATGCTGTAGACATAAGTGAACATCATCTGATGGTTACACGTTTCGGTGTAATATTATGGTTATTAAGAAAGGGTGAAAAAGGTCCACGTCCATTTTTCACTAAAGGACTGCAGAACAAATGACACATATATGATGTTTGTTCTTACAAATCCTAAAGCAAGCAATAGTTTGTTGATGATTTGATCAAAACAGTGTAACTGGGGAAACTTAGAAGTAGGGTCATCAACAACATAATTTGATGGCAAATTGTTCAAAACCACAATTGTCCTAGCTTAATCTCAACACATTAGAGATCTACTGGATCTGACTTATGAAGCTTTCCGTCTCTTGGATCTAATGTTCACACATGGTAACGATGTCAGTCAAGTAACTTTACCCCACCTCTAGGAAGGGGTGACCATGCAGTCATCTTATTCTTCTTACTAGTTCGAGACAACTCAAAGTACATAATAAACGAATAGAAAAGCCAAGAACTAACAAAATACCAGTGGCATACAGGTTTTCACACCGAGTCATCAATTCTTGGGATTTGTTACCCGAAGCAGTGGTGTCTGCGTCTCCAAATGACTCATCTAAGAGACACTCACAGAAGCATACTAGAAAAGGTATAACATAGGCTATAGGCCTTCTGTCTTTACTACACAAATCTGAATGTTTATTTCAAAGAACTCGATGACCCGAACAACCAATAAAGGAGAAATAAGGGAAAAATGGGTTAGAAAATAAAGAGGAAACGCGCCAAAATATCTGCTTTTTTGCCTTTCCGGGGGAAATAACACGGATTTTCCCATCTATGTTGCTGAATTATCTACTTTTCGCCTATATGTACTTTAAATTGTCTACTTTTCGCCTGTGTGCCGAATTGTCTACTTCCCGCCTAAATATACGCCCTCAGGAGGGCTAGAGTATGCAATTGCGGCCGAAACAACTAGATTCAGCATTTAAAAACAGATGGTTATGCTATTAGCAACATTTCTTTTTTCAGATATACAGCCGTATACGTTTGTATATCATGTAGTACATCAACAGCATTAAACGGTTTGATAAATGAAACATACCACATCATAACGCAAACATAGGGACTATGAACAATGTGATTGGTCGAGGTAATGCTTCAGTGGTATCATCCAATGTTGTAGGTTACCGATCCCTTCAAAGTCAACCTGTCAAACTGGTCAATAACCATTGTAACACATGTAATCAGCAGTCATTGAAAGGCGGGAAGACCTAAAACCACAACACACACAATGTTAACGAAGCAGCTCACACCAGAGAGAGAACACGGAATGGGAACTACCAGTCGTTTATTTGAAAATTCGCGGGTTATGTACAGAAGGGAGATCTAGTCTACAAAACAGTCTTATGAGTCATCCTGTAGGTTCAGTGCACGCAGAGCTTGCTCTTCTTCTTCTAAAGCATTTATTCTTGGTTGCCCTGTAATAGAAAGAACAACAGAATCTATTAACAACACCATACATAATGATGTTAACCCCGTTACATCGCCCCCCCCTAATGAGGCACTGTCCTCAGTGTCTGGTCTTGGGCATGAGTATGGTGTTCCTCCTCCTGGCCGGCGAACTGAGCATCGAAGGGCATTGTCATTCGATCTGGTTTTATTTGGTTGTAGTGTACCGTTATCAGGTCGTTGTATGTTACGCAATACAAACGTAGTGGGGGATCGGATGAGGACAATTTCGAAAGGACCTTGCCAGGGCTGGTGGAATTTACTGCAACCCCCTAACGATGTCATGGGGCGGCGTAGCCAGACGCGATCTCCGACTGTATACATCGGTCCTTGCACCTGACTATCATACATGTCTTTTTGGTGTCCGCCTGTTGACACTCGCTGGTTCATAAAAATTTTCGTCCTGTGTGTTAAACGATGCAAAGGTGTTGCTAGTGATGTGAAGTCGCGAACAAAGCGTCTGTAATAAGAAGCTAGCACAAGGAAGCTACGAACGTCTTCGGGTGATTTTGGTTGCGGCCAATTAAAAATCGCACGTGTCTTTTCGTTATCTGTGCCTACCCCATCTGCAGTGATACGATGTCACAGGAAGATTACTTCTTTCTGCAGCAGGCGACATTTGGACGGTTTTACTTTTAAATTGTGTTGTTTAAGGCGCTGAACTGCTTTCAGATTAGTATTGTGTTGCTCGGGTGTGCTACCATACACAATAATGTTGTCAATATATGTCAAGCATTTGTGGGGTACTATGTCTTGTTAAACTATTTGCATTAGTCTTTGGAAAGTAGCTAGAGCACTTTTTAAACCGAAAGGCATCACTTGAAATTCATATAAGGCACTGTCATCGACGTGTGCTGGTTTGAGACGATCAATGCTGACGATCTCGACGCGGCCATGTCGATCGACCTTGAAGGTCTTTTCGTGACGAGAAATCACGCGAAAAGGTCCTTCGTAAGGCTGTTGCAGAGGTTTGCGTACTGTATTTACTCGTATGAACAGGTATACAACTCTCTCCCGAGAGTGACCTGTCGATGTTGTATTCGAGTGTTTGCGAACACTGCCTCCGGTGTGCGCATAAATCCAGACAGTCAACGGACGTAGTCTGATTCACTGAAATCGTTACTGCTCCGTGTTGATAAAAATTCCCCAGGCAGACGCAATGTCGTGCCGTATACAAGTTCAATGGCGGAACACTGAATATCTGCCTTTAAGCTCGTTCTGATACCTAAGATGACGAGCGGTAAGGTTTTGTACCAACTGTTGTTTTCGTGTGCTTGAAGAGCACTTTTAAGTTGGCGACTAAACCGCTCAACTAAACCATTTGATGCTGGGTGATAAGCGGTAGTGCGTATGCGTTCCGTACTAAGCAGACGGGTCAGTGAGAATAGATATTTGGGGAAATTTCTCGAATAAAGCGTGGAACATACCGTCATGCGTATGAAAGATACATAAAATTCAGTACGCGTACATCGGAGTCTATTATATTAATACTATTCTTGTCGTTATCCGTTATCTCACTTGAGATAACAACTTAAGTTGTTACCAGAATATTATATATTGAAAAATATCAATATGAAAATGTGCAACAGACGTGGATAGATAAGTAATAGACTCACCGCAATCGGCTTCTTTGGAAGATTTGACCAGAGGTTGAGACTTATTCTTAGATTTGGCTCACCAGTTGTAGTGTGGTGTCGAGTCGCGGTTGACTATGATCAACACTACAGGATGACTACGTGCCAGTTAACCGTTAATATCCCCGTAAGTCAAATATCAGAAGTCAGTTGATGGCTGTAGTCGAGTTGTATTTGTTGGCGACCTCGTGGTATCGAAAGAACACCAAGATCTGGCCAGGTTACAAGTGCGGTTGCTGAGCTTAACCGAATTCGCGCAAGGTCACAAAGGAAGGACGTGTACACTTTGGTATAGTTAAACAAACAAGTACGGTAAAACAATCTCTGGTATAATTAGTTATAATAATAAATTTTTCATTACACCAATTGCGTTCTCTTGGTGAGAGTAATTCACTACAGAACTATGATATTATTGTCCAACCTATGTTTTATCAATGCATCTAAATGGTTCAAATGGTTGTGGACGGAATAGAAGAAGCTTTCGCTTAACAGGCTTCCGTGTCTAGTAGCAGGGGATCACCAAATCCTCCAGGCAGGAACCTAGGTATGTTAACAATAAAAGAGGAAAAGAGATTGGTAAATCATAATGTGATGCTGTTCTTGGTCCTTAAGAATAGGTCAAGTTGCCTCTTGAAGGACTCCTGAGAAGTCGCTTGGACTAGCTCGGCTGGCAGCGAATTCCAGCTTTTGACAACTCTTAAGGAGTAGAAATTGTGTCTACATTCCGTCTTGCTATGTTGTGTTTCCAGTTTCTGGGTGTTACCCCTTAGGTTATTATTCGAACTAAGCTTAAGTAGGTGTTTAAGAGGATGTCCAGAAGTGTTAAGAATACTATAAGCCATTAAAAAATCACCTCTAAGACGCCTATATTCTAATGGGTAAAGGTCTAGTGAACGGAGGCGTTCTTCGTAAGGCTTAGATTTGAGTCCTCGAACTGATTTCGTGGCTCGCCGTTGGATACGCTCCAAAGTGACCTTGTCCTTTTGGAGTGAGGGGGGAGTACTATGTTTCCGTACTCTAAATGGGGACGGATGAAACTATTGAAGATTGTGTGGAAAGTTCTTCCGTCAAACTGGCCAAAAATGCGCCTCAACGTTACCAGTGCAAGGTTTGCTCGGAAGGCATTTTTGTCACAGTTAGCGTAAGACTTCAAATCATGGGGCACCAGGACTCCTAAATCTTTTTCGACTTGGGATACTACTAGAGAGGAGTTTCCTAAGTTGTAACTGTAGTTTGCAACATGTCGCAGATGGACTACTTTACACTTTGAAGTGTTAAAGGTAAGTCCGTTATCGTCTGCCCAACTTTGAAGTCGAGTCAGATCCTCCTGAAGTGCCTGTGTATCGTCTTGGTTGCGTATCTCTCTCCAAAGTTTCACGTCGTCGGCAAAAAGTAATAAATCTGACGTTACCTGTTGAGGAAGATCATTTATGTAGATCAAGAAGAGAAGAGGCCCTAGTACTGAGCCCTGGGGGACCCCACTAGGACATTCCATAGCCTGAGATAAAGTGAAATTAACCCTAACCTTAAAGTGTCGATTTTTTAGGTATGAAGTAAGCCAATCGATTAGGGGTGGTTTGATACCTAGTCGTTTGAGCTTGTTGATAAGACACAAGTGGTTAACCTTATCAAAAGCTTTTGAGAAATCAAGGTAAATGACATCAACCTTTCCCTTGCAATCGAGGATGCTTGTCCATCTGTCCACCGCAGTCAGCAGGTTGGTTATACAAGAGTAACCCTTCCTGAAACCATGCTGTTGGGGTGAGAAGAAATTTAAGGACAGTAGATAGTCATTTAAACCGTCGCATATCAGGGACTCCATGAGTTTTGAAGGTAATGACAGAAGAGCCACCGGCCGATAACTTGAAGGTTCATTGCGTCGACCACCTTTGAAAATTGGTGTGATGTGAGCCAACTTCCAATTTTCCGGTAATTTGCCTCGGCTAAGCGAGTGTGAAAACATCACGCTAAGCGGCGTTGCCAGGATTGAGGCTGCCTCCCTCAGTATGGCAGGATGAACCATATCCGGGCCAGGAGAAGTGTCTAATCTTAAGTGCTGCAATTTCCGGAACACCAAGTCAGCGCTTAGGTCCACTTCAGAAAGTCCTGTGGAATTGCAGATGAAACTGTCGTCAGTAAAGTTGATGTCAGCCGGTTGAAATGTTTGAGAGTAATGTGCCGCCAGAAGGTTAGCGGCGTCGCCATCGTTGTTGGTCGGGCCGTTAAGACCTACCAGTTGAGAAACTCCTGTTTTGGCTTGACGAAGAGAGGCTGCATAACGGAATAAGCTTCTAGGGTTAGAGGCGAATTTGTCCATAAGCTTTGTTTGGTACTGAAGCCTGTCTTCTCTTATAGCCTTCGTGCATATGTTCCTGATATGTTTATATTGCCTATACGCTCCATCGTTATTAGTTCGTTTGTATTCCGCCCAACAGTGCCTTTTGCGGCTTAGCAGGCGAAGGGTACGGTTCTTGATTACTGTAGGTGGCTTGCAGCTTTTGGGAACCGTTTGAGGAACTGAATGGTCTGTAGCACATAAGAGCGTGTGCAGTAAGAAGTCCCAATGACCATCCACATCGAGTTGAGGGTGAACATCCCAAACCACCTGTTGTAGATAGTCATGTAGAGCTGGGACATTCAGCCGTTTAAAATTCCAACGCAAATTATTGTTGGGATACCTTAGCTTAGTTTTGATGACAAAACTGAAGGCTATGACGGCATGATCGCTCTTTCCCAGAGGAGCCAGGATTGAGAGGTTGTCGACTAGGAATTCTTCGTTAGTGAATACACAGTCTAAGCGCGATGGTGTCTGACTGTTTCTCCAACGAGTTGCCGACCTCACATTTTCATATAAGCCCAAGTCATCGATGAGGTTGTAGAACCGAGCTTCAATTGAGTTGTCGCCTCCAGTGTACGTGTGTTCCGCGAAGTTGACTCTAGGGAGATTAAAGTCCCCTAGAATCAGGATGTGTGTGAAACCGAGACGGATAGAGCGGGATAGTCCTTCCAGCATACGACTATCGTACTCGATGTCGGCAGTTGGCTTCCTGTAAATGACTCCGACTAGACACCTCGAAGTACTAGACAATCTTACAGAGCACCATATGGATTCCTCAAGATTGTTAAACTCGAGGTTGTGAACTTGGTGCACCTCCAAGCAAGAGCTTATGTATATGGCTACTCCGCCCCCAATTCCTGTTTTTCTGTCGTTGCGGAACAAAGTCATCCCAGGTAATGCTAACTCTTGGTCCGAGAACTGAGAAGATATCCAGGTTTCAGATATTCCTATCAGATGGGCCTTATTAGCGTTGCTAAGTTCACGTAGTTCATCCAGTTTGTTTGGTAGACTCGCGGCGTTCATATATAAGCAGTTTATGCTTTCAATTTGGAACGCGTGAGCTTCGTCCTGTTTTTCTGTATGAACCTTATGTGAATGGACAGGTAGCCCACCTATATGAGGTTTGCCGAGGTGGTAGGCCCTGTCCTTTACACGTTTTTTTATCGTTTAGACAGTCCACAAGTGGAATGGTCAGCTCCAACTTGCCTTTGTTCTTGGTCCTAGCTTCGTATGGCCTATCCGGGTGCATGTGGATTCCAGGTGGCAATCGACGTCTATTAGCACGAAATGCTTCCAGAACTGCAGCCGCCATGTGGGAAGATGGGAAGGTTATCTTCATTAGACGGGGTCTGGGTCACCGTCCTTCTTGGCTAGTCTCGTCACATGCTGAGTCAGTATGTGTTTGAGCCTCAAGGACTGTTTGATGAATTTCCATTCCCTGATGTCAGAATGTGATTGAGTAGGGTCTGCATTTTCCGGTATACCTTGACAATTATGTTTCTTCCGCGGAAAAACTTCTCGCGAGATTCTTTAGGGATGTTTCGTATGATATTGCGCTCAGAGTACGGTATGTCGGGCAATATTCTTACGTTACCATCTGATTTCAGCAAGTGACTTGCTAGCAAGACGTCCTCTACGTCGGTAGCATTCTTAAGTGTTACTCGGAGAAGCCTCGGGTGATTTAGATGCTTAGAATCCTTTCCTCGAGTGAGCCGGGTGACCGTCAAAGGCTCTATTCTAGGAAGTTCAAGCTTCTTGTTCAATTCACCCCAGAGCATCCTGTCGTTTTTGTCCTGCAGACTGAGAGGAAGGTCAGGATTGTCAACGAGGTTCATGATAATGAGAGAATCGTCACGAACTGTTGTTAATTTACCAGGTTTCACGATGGGTTCAGGTTTAATAACTTGTTGTTTGGAGGTCAGTGTGCGTTTTTGAATCTTGGGCTCTTTATTGACCGGACGAACAGTCTTGGGGGTAGACTGTGCGACCAAATCACCAGTTATTTTCCGTGCAGCAACACTTGGGTTGCTCGGCTTAGGCGGTGATGCCTGGTTCTTTTGGGCTCTCTTAACGTGGGTCGAATCACCTACAGGGTTTTTGGGAACCACTGTTGTGTCCAGGGACCCTGAGCTGGGAGACCCGAGTTTGCTTAGGGAGTCTAGTACTGTCGACGTAATGATGGTGCTGAGCCTCAACACGTCGTCATTAGTGTTGATGGATGCTCCATCGATGGTATGCCTGTCGACATCCCTATTTTTGAGTCCGTCACACGCTCTTGTTTGTCGACCGGATTTTTTACTAGTGTTATCCAAGTTAACTGACAACTTGTTCCGAAGACCTGTCAGTAGGACAATGATGTTACTCAGCAAGACAACTGCGTCCGTGCTGCACGTGACACATACCCACTTTTGGTCTGACTTGCTGAGTTTGTTGTAAGAAGTTGCTGTCAGATCTGTGCATGCTTCGTGGAACCAACCTTTGCAGTTGTCGCACTGCATGCCAGTTGTGACAGCAAAACGGCATCCCGGACGTTTGCATGAGTTTTTCATGACTGTGTTGAAGCAAACTATGTTATAGATGCTTGCAAGAGCCTAAGCCTTTTAAAAAAACACTAAAAAGCACACTGAAAACGGACAAAAATGGACAAAACGAGTGATATAAACTGAAACTAGTCTATACGTGAAAAACAAAAAAAACCGAATAGTAAGCTGAGGCAAAACCACAGGTAACTATTTAATATAGTGAGACTCAAAAAAAGTAATCTACCGAACGTATAGCTCAGGATAGATTCTTTAGAACTGAAATGGTACTTTTGTTGCGTAAGAACACAGCAAAAGTTTGATAAATGCAAATCACGTTAGGACTAAACTTCCCGTTCGAAAATCGCGCGTTTGGTAGTGCACTGGTCTCTTGAGATGTGGCTGTCGAAGTGGCATATGGTCACCTGTGGAGAAAGGG